TCTCTCTCTCTCTCTCTCTCTCTCTCTCTCTCTCTCTCTCTCTCTCTTTCTCTGTCACCTCTTTACTCTCATTCTTTTATAGACCTTTGCCTGAGATTTGTCCATCTATTTCTAATTTTCCATTTCATTTTTTCTCTGCATTTGTGTTTTCTTCTCTCTGAGTCTCTTCCTGTCTTTTCTCCTTTTCTTTCTTTTGCTCCCCCCATATCTGTCTTCCTCTTTCTCTGTCTCTGTTGCCCTGTCTTTTTCTTAGTCTCAGGGGCTGGGGATATAGCTCAGTGGCTTAAGTGCCTGCCTGTTTTTGTTAGTCTTTCTGTTCCTGCTGCTTCTTCCCAGCTTCAGAATCTCCACACTTGATAAAGACCTGGCATGGTGAAGGAAGGCTAACTGCAGAGGTGCTAATGAAGAGTCCTGTCACCTCTGTCTCCCTGTTACTGAGGATCAAAAAGGAACTGACAATGCTCCCCAGGTGCAGAGCAAAACCTGCCTTTTTGCTCACTGCCTGCTCATCAGTGCTTCATTCAAGGGAAGGAAAACAAAGTTTAGTATTTTCACATCTGCTATTCCTCCTGTTTCATTTACTCTCTTTTGCATGAGTGAGCCTAGTGTAAAAGCTATTGACTCATACAATGAATCTAGGAATTGACTTTCCTGGACACAAATTAAGGGTGTGCAGTCACTCTGCCTATTTCTCCAAGTTATATTTGGACATTGTAAACCCCACAATTCCTTCCCTGGGTGTATGACTCTGTTGTTTATCTCTGTTCATATCGATTTCATCTCTGTCTGTCTCTATCACTGTCTGTCTTTATTTCTATCCTTCTCTGCCCATGTGTATCTCTGTGTTTCTATTGTTGTGCACCTTGCCCTTCCCTCTGTATCCTTGTCTTCTTTTCCTACCCACCTCAACCCTCAAGACTCACCCTGGGATTTCCGCAGCTCCTCCACCATACACTGAGCCTCCTCCTGAATCTGCTCCTCCACGCTCCGCTTTCCCATCCCAAAGTCCCTCAGGGTGGCCAAAGAGAATCTCCGAAGGGCCTTCCAGCGTTCCCCATTGGCAAAGACCACCCCTAGTGGTTGTAGGAGAGGCATGGGTTACAGGAGAAGTTCAAGGAGGAGGGATTCTTCCCCACTCCTTTCCTCCCTTCTCACATTCTACCATCCTCCAACCTGCCCCATCCGGGTGCTTTTGAGGTCCTCACCATATCCCTGGAAGACAGGCTCCACAGTAGCAATTGTCCCTCGGCCTGAGAAAGCCTCAGCTTGGTCCACCAGGGCCTCCCGTATGGCCTCTGTCCCACACAGCATGACTACAGGCCTTGGCCCCAGGTACACGGTGAACACATCTCCATATTTCTCTCGGAACTGCCAAGCAAACCCATACCAAGGTTGCTATTAGTCAGTATATGCACAATGGTTAAACCATTAAAATGCTTAAATACACATTGGTAGTTTGATGCCATCCACAGGATCCTCAGTCCCTGCCCAGGTGCCTTGTTCACTTCGCAGGATTCAGCATCTAATGCACTAAGCTGTGACCTATCCAGGCTCTGCTTCTAGTGGTTGGGGCCCAAAGCAGTGCAGATGCTTGGGTATTCCTAATCTCATCTTTACCCATATCCTTGGGCTGGGACTAATTTCAACCCAAAGAATCCTTGTGCTTTAACTTCAACATGCATTCTGACCCCTGTAGTTTAGGGGGGGGGGGAAACTCTGACTCACCCTCATGGTACAGAGAATTAGAATAACAGATCCTATCATCCGGATTAGGAAATTTGAAAAAATCAGTTCAGTGCCTTGGGTAGACAGGAAAGTCACCTCTTGGTGTCTATAGGGAGTGGATCTCAGGGCTCCCTCAGACACCAAATTCTTGATAGTGCTTGCGCATAACCTATGTTCATCCTCCTGTATACACCAAATCATCTCTAGGTTGCTTTTATCTACAACAATGGAAATGCTATATAGAAAGTTGTACAGGATTATTTAGAGATCAATGGCAAGAAATAGTCTGTGAGAGGCCCTGTGGCTGGATTGTGCCCTGTGTTGCGCCACCGTCAGTGCTTCCATGTTGAACTTGACCTGAGCTTATTGTCTCCTCTCTATCCAGGGTCTGTCCTTCTTCTTCAAAACCAGCCCTAGTCAAAGTCCTGTTGGCTACTCCTTTGCAATGATTCATCTTTATATCCCAATTTGGAGATAAATTGACAGTGCTACGTGTGGTCTGACATATGAGTTTATTTATTTTTTTTATGAAAGCTGTAATGGAAATAAAAATTATCACAGCAACCAGAAAAACAAAAGGAAATAATCTGTGAGTATTCAATATATGCACAAGTTTTTCAATCTAAAGCTGAAATGTATCTGGGGATATAGAATCTATAGGTAGAGAAGGCCAGTTGTAGTTATTCAAACTAAATATAGGCATACTCAGCAACTTCACCCCACTATATACTTGCTCAACAAAAACGTGTACTTGTTCACCAAACAAATCAACCAGAATATACATATAAGCTTTCTTAGTAAAGTGATCATCAATATATGGTGTAAATAGTGAGAGACTCACACAATGGAATGTTATAAACAATGTAAAGAGCCCATGACGGCTATAACTGATAATCCATTAATTCAGGGATTTCTTTTTTCATTTCCAATCTGAGGTCTTCTATATCTTTCTGCAGCTGTTTTATTTCAGAAGCTGTTGATTCATTGCTTTCCACTGTGTGATTTCCAATTTGTTCTGTGTTAGTGTCCTCTGCACTTGTTACGGGTGGGCTTGGGTTCTGAGGTTGCATTTTGTTCCTTCTCGTCATTTTATGTAGCACTGTCTTCTGCCCTTTGTTGTAGATCTTTGCTGTAGTTATAACCTTCACATGTACTGAAGTTCAGGTGGAGCTCTACAGAGTTGGACTTATCCAGTTGCGTTTGGCTTAGGTCTGGCTGCTGTGCTCAGCTCCTTCCCACTGCGGACCTGGGCTAGGACTGGGTCTGGGGGTTCCCAGAACTGGGCAGAAATTCCTACTTGGCGGGAGGGATGGGAGAGGTACGGCGGAGTGGTGGGGACGGCCGAGGGGGTGGGAGAGGGTCCGGCCCACGCTGCGCCTGGGCTGGGACTGGTCCCGCCTGCGCAGGGTAGCAGGAAGCTCTCCACACACTCACCGGACCTGGGCTAGGACTGGGTCTCTATAACTGATAATCCAGATGAAATTCACAAACATAGTATTGAGTGGAAGCAACTAGACACAAAAGCAAGTTTAATTTACTTCTTTGTGTTTTACATACAGTTCAAATACAGTTAAAACTGACCTATAGGAAGAGGGCGGAGAAAGAGCTGGAGGGAGAACAGAAGGATAGATGTACAAAGAATTAAGCTATATTATGTACATATACCAACACCTCATGACAAATGTAATTGTTGTGTACCGCAGACATGTACTAATATAAACAAAAAAACTTTAACAATCAACCCATGCAGTCAGAATAGCACCCCAGCTCCAACTGTGTAAGTTAAAAATGTTAAGCCCTCAGGCAGAGGTGGTGCCGCATGGTCAGTCATGGCCAATTGCAATGGCATTAGTGTGTCCACTGAGCTGTCCATTTTGGGAGCTGATGTCCAACTTCAGAAAACTTTGGCTTAAAGATCATAAAAATGGCTAAATTTACTATTAAAATGTTTTTCATTGTTCTCTGCAACACCTTCTTACTAGTTTCCCTGCTTCTATTGCTATTGATAGAATGCAGGCGACTCCATTTTCTT